AAAAATTAGAACTCATGTAGCAGGTAGCTTCTCAGTTCACATAGCCATGTGTCTACGCGTACTGCAAGCGAGAGGGCTCTGGTTAGAGCAATCTTCTCAGATGACCGAGATATGAAGCATAACGAGTTTATTCATTACGTGTGATCAGGTGATTGGTTTACCTAATCACGTGATTAGTTGACCCCGTTAACCACCCCGTTAAACATTATGGGAATTGATAAGGGTGCCCAATTAAGGTGTCGTGTCACGGTGTCTGCACATAATCACCCAGTCAATTTTGTTAACGAGATATACAGCACAGAAAATACTTGATAACTTCGTCATTTCTAATCTGTTTTGCCTCATGTTTTCAGATCATATGCAACATTTAATAATCTACCGTCTCTGAAAAAATTAGGCACTCAGCATGTTCAGAGAAAACAATATAAGTGTTTTAATATTGAATGGGCGTGGTCTAAAATATTCGAATTTTCAAATTTTGACGACGGAATCCTCGAACCAGTAAGTGCAGTATGCCATTTGCAAAGCAACAGCTCTCAAATATAAAACACGGTGCGGCGGAGCTATTAAGGCCAACGTATGCTCACTGACTTTTGGCCCACCCTGTATAAAGGAAAAACATTTAATCAGACAATTAATTTTAAAAATATAACAAACATCTTCTTTCATATCAAGGACAAGCAACAAGGCGATATTGTCTTTTTCGTAAAATAATTCACAAAATAGAGATGAATTCGGATATAGATATCAATCGAACGAATTTTAATTTTTTCAACCATCTTTATCATTAATCAATAACTTTTTTCCTTTTTTATGATCATCAATCTTCTTTGTTCTTAATCATTGAACATCTTAATCAATAATATTTTTTTCTTTTTTTACATTAAAAAAAGGCGTGACTTCACGTCACGCCTGTGACGTGAAGCAAAATTAATAATTTTAACAAACCATCTTAATCATAGCAAATTTAATTATCGGCCTAAATCAGAGTTTTAAAACAAAAATAATTACTTAATGTTTAACAGGTGATACTCGTAAAATATTTGTTCCAATTATTAGGACCGTCGACTGTCGACGGAGTCCAACTCGGCGCGCGTCCTGGTAGGTTGTAAACCTACAACTTAATGTGGAAAGAGGGTCCAGAAATCAAATTGTCCAACCGTTCCTTATGTCATAAATGATCAACCATGTATAAGGTAGTTCTGATCAGATCTCTGTAATCTAATTGTATAACTATATCATATTATTCTTTGAGCAAAATAACAAACTTTGCCGAGTACCTTAGTGCAAGAAATATAGGCGGCAAGAAATTAAGGCGATTCTGACAAAATCGCCTTAATTTCTTGCCGCCTTAATATCTGACCACCGTAATTTCTAACCGCCTTAATTTTTTTTCTTGCGATTTTTTCATAAGAAATTTTCGTGTGATTTTATTATTTTAAATTTACATGTCGATTTCGTTATTTGCTAGAATTCAATGAAATACATATTTAAAATAAATTAACTTGAGTCTAAATACATTAATATATCAATTAATATTCTCGTCTTCTCCTTCTTCATCAGAGTCATATATCTCCAGCAGCTGCAATCCATAACCAAAATAGTCGTCGTCATCTTGCTCCGTCGTGTCTGGAAATAGCTTCTTGATAATATCAGCTGATTCATCCTCCAAACGTTTGTCGAAGCTGTACTTTTCGTCGACTAACTTCTTGAGGAGCGTTATTCCCTTCTCATTGGTCCATGAAGCAGTTACAGAGCACTTCACTTCTAAGCCGCCCTGTGTAAGAGGAGAACGTGCAGGTTTCTCCTCCAGGACTTTTACTTTGTAGGAGCAGCCATGACCAATCGAAAAGTAGACAATTCGTGATATTTCAATTGGCACATGTCCTACAGTTATCGGTACTAGCTTGTGCGGAAATTTCGCTTTCACTGCGACTGCAAAAGAATCGTAGGGATTATTATCTTCCTTCTCGAATGATAAAGTATCGTCTTTAGATGGTTTTGTCCAATCCTTTTGATAAAAGTGATACCCTCTCACCCCCATGACAAATGATGTCTCTGGTATGTCAATTGTCACTGTAGTAGTACACATTGTTATACCTTTATAAAACAGCGAGGTGGGAGTGTGTGTGTAGAAGAGAGCGTGGAACTGGACCGAAATAGAAAGCTGAGTGACCTCTTGACTTGAAGTTACGATTTGATTAACTTTTTAAACTACCTCTTGTGGTCTTGTGGGATGTGGGTGCAAGTGAGCAATGCGCGTGAAATTTATCATACACACGGTAACTGATCGCATTCTTACATCTGAGCAAATCTATGAGCCGGCCGTGACAACTGCAGCCTGGCGCTCCTGCAGTCCTGACTCCTGCGAGTGACGTCACTTCACTCTGCCTCCTGCCAGTGCAGCAGTGCCGACCCACTTTCGCACAGTTTCAGTGTGTTCAACTTAGACGACAGAACAGCAATCACTATAAATATAATGTGCATGCACCATTTAGTTTTTATGTGACCAATGTCCAATATATCGTATTTTTAAACAGATTTCTATGCTTTATAGACTGATAAAAGAATAAAATTGACACTATTTCGACCAAAACTATAACCAAATTTGCGATCAAAAATCGTATTTTTTCCGAAAAAAATATCGCCTTAATTTCTTGCCGCCTTAATTTCTAGCGCCTTATATTCTTGCCGCCTATATTTCTTGCACTAAGGTATGTAGGAAGTTCTGATCAGATCTTTGCATATCCTCGTCTTCTTTGAGCCAGATAACGAACTTTTCCATAGATAGTGAGTGGCAGAAGGAGGACTTTTGTTATGTAGTTTCTGTACCGTGCTCTCAGTTCTGGTTTACGAAGGATCAGGATGGTTGGGAACACTGCTGCGTTTATCAAGGGAAGGGTGAATTGTAACAATACAATTACAACGAGGGGTGCTGGGAGGATGTAATTATTCACCCAGATAGCGATTGAATTCACGCAGTACAAAGAGACGCTAATCAAGTACAGTAACGAGATTAGAAACACTGTTAAGTTAACTTGGTTTGCAGTGTTCAGCTGTGGGTTTTCGTGACCTCCAAAGGCTTTCTTTATATAGATCATCTGAAGAACCATGCATACAAGCACAATCAAGCAAGGCAAACCAAACTGAACTAAAGGCACAACTACCTCCATGATATCGTACATAAGTATTGCTGCACCATCAGACACTGCAAAGTAACGCTCCATCAACACTAATACACGGAGTGTTGTGCCGTATCCGATTGTTGCTATGTTAGTCATCATGTTCCATGGACCCGCGTAACCACTACATTTTGGGTTATCATTAATACTAGTTATGAAATCATTCAAGGCCCACAAATCAATAATGCACAGGACTAGGAGAATGGTCGGGTAAATGAAAAGGAATATTTTCAAAACTCGGTTATTCAGACTGTAAAATGGACGCATTATGTTGATGGTCTTCACAACCGTTAGCGAAAGAACGAAATATGTAGAAGTAGCGTAGCACAGTGTACCAAACAGTTGGCAGATCAGGATGCATCCTCAAAGACGGGTCCTTCAAGCACAGCAGTGATATTGAGCCTCGTCCTATCTCTGAACACGCACTTCCAATGTCCACAGCAGCAACAATAATAAAGAATAGGTACGGAATCCTTTTCCAGTCCTTGCGGTAATCATTTATGATCATGGCGTTCTGGATTATGATATAAATAGCTATAGTGATATTGAGTGGGGATATATACTGAAGGCCCCAGTCATGACCGTCTATAACTATGGAGGTACTAGGAGGCGAGTTTGTGGTACTCATATTGTTTGTCCAGATCTTTGTTCTGCGGGGTAACTTTACGAGGTTTTGGAGGGAACGAACTAACTATACGATCCAGAAATAAACTACGAAAAATATTAGGAAACTTGCTCTTTTGTAAAGTGCAGCGTGATAATCTCACCTATAGTAGCTACACTCTCAAGTTTTTGTATCAAATTTCGTATTAGGATTTAGGGGTCGTTCACATATTACGTAATCAATATTTTGACAATTTTTACCCCCCTCCCCCCTCCGTAATCAACCGTAATCAAGACCGAACCCCCCCCCCCCCCCCCCTATATTACGTAATCAAGGTTTGACCCCCCCCCCCCCCCATGGCTGTTCATGTTAAGCCATTTATTTATTAAAAGCTATCACAACGGATTAATGAATGAAATAATCGCAAAGCACTTACTATTTTCGTTTATAAACGAAAATTGGTTTAAAAAACAAAAATTTTGATTACATAATTAACGAAAATTGTCCAGTTGGTATTTGGAAAATCGGTAAAAAATTAAAATTTTGATTACGTAATCAACGACCAAACACCCCCCCCCCCCCCCCCCCCCCCCCCGTAATCAACCGTAAGCATTTAAAAACCCCCCCCCCCCTGATTACGTAATATGTGAACGACCCCTTAGGAAGATAATTGATAATGCGCCATGGAAATTTCACGTATAGTAGCTATGTAGTGAGTTCTGGATTGTCATGACTTTATTTCCTATTAGCAATTAGCATTATTTATAAGGCCGGTTCATTTTACCAAAAGTTGTTCAAATAATTAGAGACCATATCTTATTAGTTGCTCTATAGGGTCAGGAACAACCAAACAATTTTTGTTGACTCTATCTCAATCCAACCACCTATAATATATACTAGCTAACCAATAATATACGTCTCATCCATGATCTATCATGGTAAGGCGACAGTGGATGCCGGATGGATTAGACATCACCGCGCACCGATGCCCAGTTAACGGTCATGAATGCGTTGCACAAGACCGTGGAGAACACTGCTGTAGAAGATGTGTTCTACAGATGAATTAAAGATTATCAGTATCGAAATTCTTATGAAAAAGACGAAATCCCTGGCTACTGCTCTTATTCTGGATTCTGTCGAAGACGAGGATTAGAGTACCCCCCTCTCTTGTCATGTTGATGTGTTGTTCCTCATTCAAAATCAAAGAAACTCTTACGATGGTAAGGGGCCTATTCAAATAAAACAGGACTTTAATTTGTTAAATCCAAAATGTTATTCAAACAATGCTCAAAGGCTTTACAAATAGGCATTTTAATCAATAATTGAAGTTTTGAATCGTTCAAGTTTGGGCACCAGTTTGCCATCCCACAAAGCCACAATTCTCAGTAACTCCGCAACCCGTAAAATCAAAGTCTTTTTAATACAATAACAATGTTCAACCAACAATAAATAATGAGAACGTAGTCAGTTAACGAGTTAAGCAATTCACAAAATGGTCTATAATTTAATGTTGTGAAGACCGACATAAAATGGTCCAATGTCCATTCTGTGAGTTTTTTACAGCTTATTATAAAAAAATGCTCCCCTACACCCAAGTCCTCGTCCTTTACCCTTTCAGTTTAAATATTGAAAAGCTGCCATCGACTATTTACATTAGGGTGTACTTAAATCAATTAAAGAATAATTTAAAATTGTCAATAATTTCCCCTTGTTGTGGGTTTTTGACAAAATGGCACATACGTACACACGTTCGATACAATTAGCAAATTGCAAAATGATAGCTCAATATAATCAGGACGGATCTCTTTTAAAGATGAAAAACAAACCCGCCAAGCATCCCAGTCGGTGGATGTTAAAGAGCATATTAAAACATAAAATTAGGAATACATTTTCAAATGGTAGCGAATTGTCAACCAAAATATTGCAGCAAAAACACATCTATAGATTATGGGTTTCCACGCAGTCCAATTTTTTGCACAGCTAGCCTTAATTTCTGAAATATCACGATTATTGAAACTCAATAGAAGTGAACGTTTTTAAACCTTTACAAAACATGTCAAGGCTATTAGATTATACAAATTATCATGAGAAACACAGTTTCAACTTTCAGGACAAGGGAAAGCCGTTGTAACGGCTAACTCGGTTGATTCGATTCAATATTGAAAAGAATTATACAAAATGAGGTTAGTTTTTAGTTAAATTGTTAGTAAAAGTTCAACAAACTTTTAACTATTACTTTACTTATGCATCTAAACCTGATATTCTATATCTTACCATTACCGAAACAAGGAGAATAGAAGTTCTTTATTCGGAATGAATGTCCTGACTCATTCGAATTTCGTTTCAGTTTCAAAAATTACGTGTGTCCATGAATAAGTTCAAATGTAGAAGAGATACATACTGCAGCAGTTCCTGAATTTGATAACATGGCCGACTGAGAAGAGTAAAACTTCTTTAACATATATCAAACTAACAATATGGTCACGTAAATGGACATTTTGTCCGAAACCGGTAAAAATTTCAAATATCGGCGAAGCACAAAAGCACTGCATTACCTAAAATGACAAGTGGAACATGGCGTTAGATAAGTAACACATGTCATGACGGCTGATTTGCATAGAGTAAGTTTAATTACTAATTAGGTTGCCGATATCTTCTCTTGACATCCAAGTTCGTTTTACGTTTACCAGAAAGTGATGGCGGACTTCAACGTCACTACTTGAATCATTTAAATAAATGTATAAGAAGTCACAAGAGAGAAGTCCGCTCCAAATTCTCCATTATGATTGTATCTAAGACAACATTGAGGACCACTTGAACCATGGATGTATCAGTTGCCGTAGTGAAATGTGGGTAGACCATCTTCTTTCTGTTGTGGTTCCGTGCAGTAAATTCCCCCTGAATGTACGCTCCAGCAGCTTCAACATTGTGGTCAGGTCCTGAAATGAAGTTTCGTCATTATTTCGTTTTTCGGTTCTATTCTGTCCGAAATTTTTCGTTGGAACCACATGTGCGCGGCTTACCAGAAGCTGCACAGAGCGTTAACAGCTAACTTACTCCAATATAACTAACTTAGGCGTTCGCGCGTTACGTCAAATCAGCAAAATCCTATACTTTACGCTTATATCGAATTATGATAGGATACAATGTGTAATCAAATTTATTACCTTTACAATGCAGGTAATACAAAATGGTCGAAGTACTAGGGAATTAATTTACAAAACAGGAGTTACGATAAAGAGTCATGGCAATAGTATCCGATCAAGCTCATTTATTACAATGTGACCTCACAATCCACGTTAATTTCAAGATTAAAGCTGTGGGACCAGTCTACACAGCACATACTTGTGTTAGAATCTGAGCACTTAACACGCTTCACAAAAAGTGAGGCTGCACCTCTTTTTGCCCAGTATTTCCACAGTCATTGCAATTATAGAAGTATAGAATTCCAGCGTTTAAATTCAATTTAAAGAAAAGCCCGTGTCATTCTTGGTAGCCATGGAAACATAATTACGCCTTCAATTCCGACATGTTCAGATCAAAGAGACATAATTCGTGATCCAAGATAAATTAGAGCAATGCCACCTAAAGCTTTCAGATTAGCTGGTTCACAGGCCTTTCCTATGTCATCTCCGCTAGGTAGTGAAGTACACCTGTGCTTTGTAAACGTCTGTGAATTTGAAATTTTAGAAGAAGGAGAATGGTCAGAGTTTAACACTTCATCAGGTCAAGCATCCGAAACTAATTCCGTCACAGAAGTGCTAAGTACATACGTCATGCGTGTTACTTTCTCAGATTAGTCTTCTCAGTTTGGTTCTCTTTATTCTTAAACATTGTCATTTTGGAGTCATAATATATAATGAGCTAGAAAGAAAGATTAAATTGTCCAATTTCACTAATAAAAAACTAAAAATTTAAATTACCGACCATCTTGGTCTTTGGAAACTGAGGGGTGAGGGCATTATTTATTAAATTCTTTTCAAAGATTTTAGCAAGCAAAGAACTAGAAGGTCCACATCATGTTTTATTTTGAATTCCGAACTCGAATTAATGACCTTTATTGATAAATAATCCTTCTGCCGTTTACTGATGGATTTTAATGGTTTTCAGAGATAGCTCTTGACCCACAAAAAAAATTGGATAAAAGAATCCAGAATTTCAAAAATAGTCTTTAAAGCGCATTTGTCAGAATACGGCAGTGTAAGATGTATAAAATACAAGATACACAATACAAGCCCCTTGAAACTCATTACGCTTAATCACCAAAATGCCAAAATGTGTCTCGTTCATATTAGTAACAGAGGAGAGCCTGTTTCACACAAATGAGCGCATATTTTCCGTGGAACTGGTTTCATTGTACGCATATTCCGTGTAATTTAAAGTATTTATGCCAAATTTAGACATTCATTTTCAACCTGCTACTATACTACTCGGCTAAGTGCAGTTTTGGAATTTACAAAAAGGACCTACCCACCCCCTTCATGGTACTAACTGCTTTTTCGGATAATATTCAGGACACCCACCCCCTTTTGCCGGCTTTTGCGGTACTAACTGTTGAGAAATCACGGTACTAACTGTGACTTGGTATATAAAATAAGATACCCACCCAGAAATTGCTTTAAACAGCTCATTAAACATTGGGAAATGGGCAAATTATACCCACTATTTAGTAAGGGTTTTGTTTTCAATGTAGTCGAATTAAATAAAAAGTTACAAATTTTAAAAAACCCAAAAAAGGGGAAAAAACTTCAAAACCCAAAAAAACCCATTCCCAAAATTGAAATTAAAGGTAAAATGGGTTTTTTGGGGTTAAACACCCCCTTAGTACCTTGTACTAACTGATTTTCTGGGAAATGAGCAGCAGACCCACCACTTAGTACACAAGTACTAACTGCGTTTTGGAAGAAAATATGATGATCAAATGACAGTCTGGATTGACGGACGTCAAACAGGGGTAAGGAACCAAGGGGTCAGTAACTATATAGGTTTGATTCAGGTTTTTTGCAAAAATTAAAGTCATCGCCATCAAATGCGTTAACATAGGAAATAGTTATGGGATCATGGGCACGGTCCATAAACCAATAAAGGGAAATTATTGCGGCCACTGACGAGTCTTGGGCTTGCTCGAATACAGCTGATAATGGGTGGGAGCATCCGAACTTTGTTCAAGGACCAAACTGGAAAACAGCAACTATCGTCAACCACCCTATCTACAATGGAGTTTATAGAAAAAGTTTTGGAAAAACCATCTGGACTGATAGTGCCGCAGATACCAATGTTTACTGCCGACTAGAACTCTAGAAGGCAAGAATCCTTTTACACTGCCAGGCCTATTATAGGTAGACGCATAAACTGAGAACAGTACAACATTACGCAAGAGTGCTGATAGGGCAACATTAGAAATATAAGAAATACTAGAGATATTAGAAATATTAGAAATATTAGAAATATTGGAAATATGTAGTAAAATCCCAATTCACCGCAGCTGTTTCTTTTTAAAACAGTCCTGGTAAAGGAAGGAAGTATCTTTCTTTGTGTAAACACGAAGCGCAGCGGGTGTTTACACTTAAATAGATGGTTTGCGGGAAGTGTTATAGACGAATGCTGGTTTTTAGTGTAGTGTATGTCAGTCACGTGACACAGTTTTTTTTCGTAAATTCAACTTCAAGATAAAAGTGTATTATTTGTCGTGTTTTCCGATGGTTTTAAACTAATTACAACAGTACAATTAATCTTGTCAAATCTATTACATTTATTGAGGACGTTTCACTTTCAGAAGGAATTGATTTAATGTAGTCCGAGGAGTCCTAACTCTCCTCGCGTTCTAAGATTGCGTTTCTCTTGTCTTATATATATATTTTTCGAGTTTTCTTTTATCATTTTAATATATATAATATATATTAAAATAATAAAAGAAAACTCGAAAAATGTTTGCAGTGAACATGTTTTGTCAAACTTTTTCTTCACAGAAGGAGATATAACACACATAACCCCGGCATGCGCAGGGATTATATTTCAATTTTTCCCGCGACGCGCGGGAAAAATTTATAATAATTTCGAGTGCGAAGCACGAGGGATTATTATGAAAATAACCCCGACGTGCTTTAGCACGAGGGGTTATTTTAATATAACTTAAGCGTGCCGGTGTTATGTGTTATAAACCTCTCCGGGTTAGTGCTAGGACCAACAAATTTGACATTTTACTCTTAATTCTAGCTATATGAGATCAGTATGGAAAATATGAAATGGAATTGGGGAGTATATTATACTACCAAATAAATACAACTAAGCTGTACTATGACATTTGAAATTGGCGTTATATCTAAACATTATTCCTCAGTCAGACGTTGAATGACGTCTATAAGGGGCGTCAAGTTAAGCCTGGCAAGCGATAAAAGGTGGAGCTAATATTAATAATGATATCGTGTCATGAAGTTCATCAAATTAGACGACTATAATACATGGCTTATATCAAACAGGGCAATTGCTAAGACAAAATTAACAGGACAAATGTAACCGTCGAGAGAAGTTCTGGAACAGGTCCAAGTAATTTAAGAGTTTAAGTAATGTAAGCAGTGTGCTGGAGTTTTGCCAGCGCCTGCAGTTAGATGATACGTAGATCAAGTGTATGTATACTTCTTACGTTAAGCCATAGGTCACGTGACATTTTTTACCAATGCGCGTCGTAGTAGTTAGTCACGTGATACTCGTCACCAAAACACGTGACAGTGCGCTGTTGAAATTCTCATGGAATATCAAAACAAAACAAATATTTTTGAGCCAAATTAGCGGGGCGGGATTATAGAAGCTGTGCCGGGGTTATTTATTCAGCGGGAAAAAACTAACAGCGGGAGCCGGGATTATCAGAATCTATTTAGCGGGAGCCGGGATTATCAGAATCTTATTCTAACCCGGAGGGGTTTATAAATATATCTTTAGTGATCATTTAAATCATTAAAAACCTTCTTTTGTCGATAATTTCTTCAGAAAAAGAAATAATAAAAATAACTTTTAATAAATATCTAAAAGCACTGACCAGTATAATTCCTCATGTAGATACGGAGATGTCGTTTTGTGTACATTATTTTCTCTCTGAACAGGTCCACCTTGTTGAGGAACAGAATCTGAAAGCAAAAGTGAATTAAGCGTACAATTAAATGTGGACTTCCTGTTTTGTTTATTGTATATTATTTCATATATTATACATAATATTATATATATTATATCTCCCATAAACATTAGACAGTCGTCATAGCAATCAATGTAAAGTATATGATATCTAATATCTATCAGAAAAAACTATATTTTCTTGTGAACTAAACGGATCAAGGCCAGGGTTGAACCTTGTCACGTGGAGAACCAAGCAGTATTAGCTGGGTCACACTTAGAATTAGAATTTAAATCAAATTTACGCAGCAATACAATAAAAATAGTAAATAATTTAGAGATGCTTCGATCTGCTGTGCAGGACATTATAACCCCAATAAATTCATAAGCTAATTACAAAAGTTCTATCAATTCTACTGTATATCGATTCTTGATACTTTGATAATGGTAAGAATTGTTGATGGAAGTAAAGAAGTACAGTAGAATTTAATTTGTTTCAATTCAAACGGTTGTGCCCGGTCTTATCAGTTAGTGCGGTAAATCATAAGATCAAAGAAAAAACAGACCAATACAGATAAAAAGGGTCTTAACGTTCAAAATGAATAAGATAAATACGAATACAGGGACAATTCGCTGATTTACAATAATTTATAAAACCTGTGGAATGTTGTGGGGTGATTTGGTGTTTAAAAAAGTGTGAATTTGACCAAATATCGAGGTGCAAATTATAGATAAGATAATTATGGTATTGCACAAAGGTGTCGACTCTCGAGGGGAGTCAGTGCAAGTAAGCGAGTGACCAATCAGCTCGGAGCATTGTCAAAGCCGCTAATAAATCTGTCATTTCAGCTGCTAATCTGTCAATCTGTCATATTCAAAATATGCTTCCGAAACTCCCCCACCCCTCTTAAATTTAAGAAATTGATATAGTCGACGACCGGCAATGCAAAAAAAAGTTATTTGAAGATAATGTTAAGAAGTTCAGAAAAATAATGTCTACTTATGCACTATTATATATAACTAGAAAACCCGTGGTCACAGGGAGGAAGCTAATAGTATTTTTTGTTAGTAAGTTTAAATCGTGTCAACAAATATCCTGCACAACCGAAGATACAGCCGATTAAAATGTTGCTCGCACTAAACACAACCAAAACCGATAAAAATGCCGTTTTAACAATCTTCGCACGTGCACGTGCGTGTAACAACTCTCGTAAGTCTCGTTACCATGGTCAGTTCGCAAGCTTTTGCTTTTTACCTTATTTGCACGTGGGCGGTCGTACAGACAGACAAAAACAATTCTCTGAATTATAGTAGAGATAGATAGTGCATAAGTAGACATTATTTTTCTATAATATAGTATTTTTCTATATAAAAGTATATATACTATTATAATATGCCTTCCATAGCTGCTTAATTTCTAAGACACATTTTATGATAATCAATAAACATGTCTATAAATTGTGTCTCATCTTCTATTGATAAATGTGTAGTGTGTATAAGTATAGTGTGTTGTAAGTATCATCTTCTAGTCGCGTTCTCACGTTCAGTGAACGTTAATTTCTTGAGAATCAAACCCAATCAGTTTTAAATACCCTTCTCCCCACCCACCTTGATCACTCAGTGCTTGACAACAACCAGGCAGCTAGCCACTGAGAGCTGGCCAATCAGCCGCTCCTTGATTGCTATTACTCTATTAGGTTGATATTTGATAAGCTGTAAAATATATCACAAGGTGGCAGCACCTTCTCATGCAAGTAATTTAGAAAAATCATCTCTCAACCATAACCTACACACAACACACATGTCTTTAATAGGCAACAAGACGAAGTACTCTGTGCGGTGTCAAGGTTACTGATAGTTACCATGGTTACGGTCAACGGTGTAGCGTATCTAGGTTACTCTCAGGCAGTGATGTTTGTTGGGAACAAGCCCTTCATATTGTGGTCACGTGCCCCCAAGTTGTGTGATCAGATGAGTCTACATCCAGAGATGTAGATCAAATCAGAGTTAGACGGATATTACTCTTCCTTTTATGTAACTACAGGTAACTACAGGTAACTACAGGTAACTACAGGTAACTACAGGTAACTACAGGTAACTACAGGTAACTACAGGTAACTACAGGTAACTACAGGTAACTGCAGGTAACTACATGCAACTAGAGGTAACTGCAGGTAACTATTATATAGGTTACTGCAGGTAACTATTATATAGGTTACTGCAGGTAACTATTATATAGGTAACTATTATATAGGTAACTGCAGGTAACTGCAGGTAACTGCAGAGCTATTAGTATTGGGCAACTACATCATAGACTCGTTTTAGCTTTTTAGTTCAAGAAGGATTAATAGTGTAAGCGGGAGTAGCAAGATGTCTTCCTTCAATGACGAAGTTTCAATATGTAGTTATTCATTAGCTGATTTAACACCACATTTCTGCGAAGAGTGTAGGTACTTGATCAGTGTTATAGGCACCTTATTAATCATGTTTTCTCCTCAGTCGCCCGTAAGAATATCGTATTAGCGTATTGTTTTCTGGCATTATGACAATCAATACTTCGGCCGCGAGAGAGAGAGTTTTTATCGTTCAGTTCCGACCTGAATTTATCTCGTGCTCCAAATATCGAGGTATAGTACTTGTGAGGCCGTAGTGCACTCAAGCTGAAGTAATCTTATAATCATATTTTGCGCTGCTCATATATAATAGTCTTTTAATCTTGCAATGCTTCTTGAATAACCGATGGAGATATAACCACGCACCAATAAGGAGTTTATGGGTGGCTCACCATCAGAAAGTATATCTCCCGATAGCGGTACATTATTAATCATTTCTGTGGCCTTCCTTCTGACTGCACCACACTCAAAGTAATGAAATAGTGCCAGAAACATGGGGTCCCTACTTTACTATTTGTGTCAAAATGGTTGTTATTTCGGAACTAAGTGTAGGCCGTATGAAGCTATTATACCATATAAGGAAGAATTTGGGATAATTCCAGTAAACGCTAATACTTAAACACTATTTGCTAAATAGTGCTTTTAGCCTTACACTTATAGCCTAGTTATTAAAACAAACAAAATTTCGAGCCCGAAAATTCAGACTGGGAAAATCGCCTTTTTGGCCACGCCCATTGGTGTTATATTCATATTATATAGTTATCTCAGCTTCTGAACATCGTAAAGACTTTTGGGTAGGCTCATTTTGGAGTTACGTGCTGATCAAATTTTTCTAACCTTTGATAGAAACATGTTCGAGACTTCTAACCGCAATGAACATAATATTATTTATCTACAAGTTATCCATAAACATTAAACATAGACCCTAAAATGCTTACTTTTCGAGTTACTGACGAAAAAACAATATCCGGTGACCTAATCCACCATCTTACCATCAGAAAGTATCAGCGGGTCCCCTACTGCGGGTCGTCGTGCAAGGGCCCTTATTTCGAGAACCTAGGGAGCCGAATAAATGCTTTAAATAACCAGAAAGGCCCGGGTTATGGTCAAGGTTATGGTCAAGGTTATGGTCAGGGTTATGATCAGGGTTATGGTCAGGGTTATGGTCAGGGTTATGGTCAGGGTTATGGTCAGGGTTATGGTCAGGGTTATAGTCAGGGTTATGATCAGGGTTATGGTCAGGGTTATGATCAGGGTTATGGTCAGGGTTATGGTCAGGGTTATGATCAGGGTTATAGTCAGGGTTATGATCAGGGTTATGGTCAGGGTTATGATCAGGGTTATGGTCAGGGTTATGATCAGGGTTATGGTCAGGGTTATGGTCAGGGTTATGATCAGGGTTATGATCAGGGTTATGATCAGGGTTATGATCAGGGTTATGGTTAGCTTCGGGGTTAGGGTTAGGGTTAGGGTGAAGTGAGACCGTTTGCTTCAGTTACAAGAAGGTAAAAACCAAAGTCACGTGACAGCTGGCTGGCGAGTGAACTAGAATAAAAGCCGAAAATCTAATTTATTGTCTAAATTGAAAACGTTGGCGGTTTTGAGCCATGAACTTCCAATGCAATATTAAAATTGAAATTGATTTGACATTTGTTTGTTTCAAATCGATTTTAAAACCGTGGCAGGTATGAGCCACCAATCACCATTATTAACCAACCACCATGCATGTGAATTATAATTTGTCCATGGATCATTGGATCAAATTCACGAAGACGAAGTAACAACTTAACACATTAATTCAACTTTCTACGGACAGTTGGCGCTAACGCATAGTTTTACAGATCACTTATAGTCAGGGTTATGGTCAGAGTTTTAAGTATAAGGTAGTTTATTGATAAACGTCTGTCAGGATGATCGGTGCAGCAGGAGGTAGAACTAGCTGATATATTTATAACATATGATTTCCTTAAAAGCTAAAACAAGGCCATCATGGCTCTCATGAGTGACCTGAAAACCTTCACGACCTCTAAACATATTACGTGGCTCAAGTCGTGAGACAGGCCCGTCTGTTCCGACCCTGAAGATAGAGATGAATATTGAGGAACAGAACGATTATTTATCATAAACAAGAACTGTCGAAATCATCACTACATGTCCATTCAGGTTAGTTTTACCATGGTTACGGTTATGAGTTATTAATCTAGTTTAAAAGAGAAGGAAAGCTGCTTCTGGAATCTGGGAACATACAATAGAGGCGAAATGTTATCTAAGGTAACTACAAGACGTAATTATAGAAATGTTCCACAAGTTTCATGGAAATAGCTTCTCCTAAATGGCGCAGGTTTATTTCCATAAGTTTTTCTGAATATAACGTTTAAATATTTTATATGGCAACTCTGTGTTTAACAGTTCGTACCCTGCAATTTAAAGGATCACCTAGTACCTAAAGATGCTTATCAAACTATAGTGAGTATAGCTATGTTAGTTGCTATGTTAGTTGCTATGTTAGTTGCCTGTTTACATAGTTACAACATACCCTTTGGAGGGTTTCACTAAACCACATTATTACAATTTACAATTATTGTTTTGGTTTGATACATGTGCCAGATACATTCAATTTAATACGGTAGACTCGTAAGTTGATGAGATGGTGATCAAGATGCTGCTCAGAGATCTTATTACCAAACTTATTCTATCTATTATTTTAGTGATAATATTATTTGAAATAAATTTGTTTTAGATTAATATAACGTTCATCTCAAAATAACTCTTTTTTATTTAAGAAGAATAGACATTGAAAATCGTAAAGTAAAATCACTATATAAAATCGGAAAAATCATCACTTTTTTATTTAAATAATTGAAAAGTTCATGACATAGTATGATGTAGTATGACATAATGTTAAATTTATAGTAATATATGTTAACAATATAAACAATCGATGGTTAGTAACTTAAAAGTTAAATGTATGTAATGTAAATTATTATAAAGTATCGATTAGGGAATACTTAAAACTTTGTCGTCAACGTCAAATAAAGATCCATACTTTTACAATATGGAGCTAGATGAAGGAGAGAAATTAAAACATACCTGATCTTACATTTCCTCAAATATAGCTTTCGACCAGCAGGTTTATAGTTTATAATAAAAAAGAAATTAACAAATATGTGAAACTAAGTGACAAAATATGAAAGTCTTACCATGGAGGTGCTGATGAAGAATTTGTTGTTACAGATAGCTTTGAAAAGTGTCAGCGACTCCTCCAATCGGTTCTGAATAATTGAAATATTCAGACTAAATTAAATAACTGTTTATACTTTAATAATACACCACGCCCGGCCCCATACTATATGGTAAGTCCATATAATTATTGATAGGATGGTTTGTGCCACATTAACTACAGTTACATAGCTCATCACATCATTACTAAAATACGATCTTCCTTCGGTGTGATCCAATTTTGGAAATCTTTAACTTGGTTTCAGAGGTCCCCCTGTATACAAAACGTATCAAAATCAATAAGTTCTCCAAAATTACACTAGGGATCTAAGCAGCGAACAGTTGGGGTTACATATTTGGGCTGCATTATTTATCGAAACGAAGTGGTTCATCGACATATTTTTAGAAAACATAAGTAACTAAGGATTAGTACCTACAGAAACAAGAATTACTGACTCAGAGATTGGGAAATGATCAGAAGACGTCTGGCAATAATACAGTAATTTATTCATTGTTACATATTTATCATTACATTTATTTAATATTCATTGAAGCATTGAAGAGAGAGAGAGAGAGAGAGAGAGAGAGAGAGAGAGAGAGAGAGAGAGAGAGAGAGAGAGAGAGAGAGAGAGAGAGAGAGAGAGAGAGAGAGAGAGAGAGAGAGAGAGAGAGAGAGAGAGAGAGAGAGAGAGAGAGAGAGAGAGAGAGAGAGAGAGAGAGAGAGAGGTTTTGCACTGATGTCTGCTCTTGACCCAGACAGATTACCGAATATCTCAATGTGGATATTTAAGGCTATTTAAGGGCCGTGACTAGGGTCATTATTCTCACACTGTAGCATGTTTAAATAGTAATACTCGATAACCCCTGAATCTTCAATCACGAAACATGTAAAACTTACTCTGATTGGGAACTGGGTTTTACTACTCTCACAAAACTTGCACAGGAAAAGTACATATAATATATAAAGGTGCGAGGAAAATTTAAGTGCATGCAGAAAAATTACCGATTAATATTTTTTATAAATAAGAAAGAAGGAAGAATGAAATAAAATGCCACCTATTCTCACCACCAGTTACCACCTATTCTCACCACCAGTTACCACCTACCAGCTTCAAAATCACCTTGCTACATAACCACAATAATTAGTTAAATATTGAATCTAGAAATATTCTCGGTTCAAAGCTCGATTCAAGTTTTACTGTTTTAGGCATGGAACATGCGATTAAAGATAATCGCACTCACCAACAGGGTAGTAGTCTGCAAACGGCTGGTTCCTAAGTTGTGTGTAGGCAGTTCATTCCAAACCACAACAACTTAGGATCACAACAGCTTAGGATCACAACAACTTAGGATCACAACAACTTAGAATCACAACAACTTAGGATCACAACAACTTAGGATCACAACAACTTAGGATCATAACAACTTAGGATCACAACAACTTAGGATCACAACAACTTAGGATCACAACAACTTAGGATCACAACAACTTAGGATCATAACAACTTGGGATCACAACGTCTTAACCCCGTTTTACCGCAAACTCCGATTTACCGCGGCCATTTCCTTCCCCCAAATTCGGAATAAACATGTAAATGTAAACAATCAAAACCCCGATTTACCACGGACCCCGATTCACTGCGCCTTTTACCTTTCCCAGAACTCCGCGATAAATCTGGGTTTTACTTTATACTCGTATTCAATCATCTAATGAAACACTCACCCAACAGTTGTCATGAACTTCTTGATTGATTGATTTTTCTACCATATTCAGATGATTGTTACAAGACATCCCTCTACCATCACGTACAACGATCTTAATGAAATCCTTTTTATAGATCTATCTTATAACTTTATAATGAACGTTAAAGGGGTTAACTTACCGTGCTAACGTCCTCAAACAGAGTCATGTCATACCCACTGAGCGCAGCAACAAACAAAACTGCCTTCACGTCGTCAAAACACTGAAATTAGTTGGGAATCATCAATCATAGCTTGTAAGTAAAACTACATTCACCGTCAAAACCAAATAATTGGTTAATAAAGAGCTCGCCCACTTAACATCTGCAAAACACGAGGTTATCTCAGTGATTGAAGTGTTAGAATACAGTGTTATTTCTTTATATATATAAAGATATATATATAATATACACACTATTTTCAACTCACCCTGTACATATCAAAGTGAATAATCAAACAGATCGATACACATCCCGTCAGTGTACCATATTTGGTAGATAACATTACGAAGCTGAGTCTATTAAGCTGAGTCTATTAAGCTGAGTCTATTAAGCTGAGTCTATTAAGCTGAGTCTATTAAGCTGAGTCTATTAAGCTGAGTCTATTAAGCTGAGTCTATTAAGCTGAGTCTATTAAGCTGAGTCTATTAAGCTGAATCTATTAAACTGAGTCTATTAAGCTGAGTCTATTAATACCATTTCGAAACTTGAGTCATTAAATAAGTCTCGAAGGAAGCAACTCTCTGAAAACTGTTGAATTAACTATCGTAATATTCTGTAGGCATGGTAAAACCGCTCACTGGTGATTGATTGGAAGTACATTACACAGTACACTGGCACTGTGAAGTTACTGTTAAAGTGCTCAATGGTCATGTGACTGTGCTCTTGTCACATGACCAACGGACGATCACTCAACATTCCAGTCTCATCTATAAATAACCTGAACTTCGCACCCATGATTAATCTAAGTTTAAATACCGTCGCTTTGGTTTTACACTTTAAATACAGACACGTTGTTGAACGTTGTGCACTCAGGTTTGTCTATAAGATAAAGCACGCTGTGTAGGTTTAACCTTGAGTAGTATGCCCAATGTCCATATATTTAATAGCCACGTTTTGCCGTATCAAATATTATACCGTACCTAAATAATACATATCATATACTTCCAAAGTGATAATGGTTGCCGTGTTAAATTAATTTGTAATAGCAGCCGGTGCACAATATCTTCAACATATATATTACTATAATATCCTGATTCAAGCATAGAGCAGATTATATTAAATAGCCCTCTGAAATCTGAAAAGTTTGCTAAAAGCCCATTAGTGGAGTCTGTGGTGAGTAAAGTGCATTAGATGAAATACCCAGGTATCAGAGCCACGATCTATACAAAAGGCCGAGTAGGAAATGTCTCTGAAGCTAACTAGATAAGAAAGTGTGTTTAGGCTTTTATGCTCGATACTATGTTCAGTTTAAATCCTGGGTGTACGTTTGTTACTGACATAAATGCTTATATTTCTGGGATAACTATGCAAGAGTGCATTAGGTTAAAACTTTAAACAAAATATTTGGAGAGCAGAGAGGTGACGATACTTTAGAGATTGGGTAAAATAACCCAAAAGCTAAAATATTGTTTGGCTTTTTTTATAATAAAATTAAAGTTTAATATTTAGGAGGGGTCCAGCCTGAGTTTGTTTATAAAAATTATCTTCGTGATAGCAGTTGAACAACAAACTGTAACTAGAACCCGTGACCAAACTTTTGAGGGCGTCCCGTACCCCAACCACCCACAGGTGGTCTACTTATTAAAATTTGTATCCGGATTGGTCTAAACATGGCTGAGTTATGAGCCAAAAAACATGTGCCCATATTTGGGCATACGCACCAAATTTGATAGATTACAGCTCATAAATTGTTAACATATTAATATTTTTGAATGAAACTAATTTTATATGAAAGATAAGCCTGAACTCAACATTCTATGAGAAACTAAGGCCATAAAACCACAAAAAATGAACAAAATAGCCCATATCGCATTTAGATAATATTTTCATTGAAGTTTTTTTGAATCAATATAGATTGTAAAATCACCTCAGGAGTCGGGACCTTATTTTATAAGCTATTTTTTAAAGGCCTAAATCACAAATCTTTTGAAAGAATATATTTGTCCAGACAGATTGGCATTTCAAATGGAGAAGCATTAACATTATTTATTTAAGCGTTAGCAGAAAAAACTTTACTTCAACGTCGGCAACCTCTAACACGGGTCATCTCAAAAACAGTTCAAAATTTCTTACTCCACTTTAAGAAGTACTGTCAACTGTGTAGGTCATATTATCACTGATATCAGATGAAAATACAAAACATTAACAAATAATAACCATGCAATTATGTGATTATAGAATTATGTAATTATGTGATTATGTAATTATGTGATTATGTGATTATGTGATTATGTAATTATGTGATTATGTACCTGAATCCACTTTCTTCGTTCTGATCTTTGTCCCCCAACATCGTATATCCTGATAGGAGCTACGTAGAGTCAACAATATTAATTAGATGTATATTATATATTATATTAATCATTATGCCTTGTAACGACTGGCCAAGTTGAATAAAGTACATGCTAAGAATACTTACTAAAACGACGTCTATAAATAATTTAAATCACAGTGCTGGCATGCACGACCGTTTATTATTTATTATACCCCCATAATCCATTTTGTTTTTTCTCTTTTTTAGACTTTTTAGAAGTCGTTCAGAAGGTTTATTTTCAGATCAAATTAATGAACATAATTTGAGTTGATAATATTCCACAGAATACTCTTGCATATTATATAGACCCGGACATTAATAGTCTTTTCATTAACTTGAGGGAGCAGCAGATTATGAAATATTGCCAAATTGTCTCAGATTACGAGGAAACCTGCTCGGTAGCTTACAAAAACGGGACCACCTCGAATAGTTGATTTTTATTAATTTTCAATATTTGCTCTGAGACTGTTTTATTGGCCACAATATCGTGTAATTGGATGTCTTCAAGAGTTTTGCTGAAATTAATGACAATATTCAATTCAATACAGAAAAAAACCTCTCCCTACCTTGCCTTTCTATACTGGGTACCTCACTAATAACTCTGTACCTCTTCCTTTTAGTTATTAGTTTGTTTTGTGCAAGAAATTTACATAGCTCATATTGCATTTGGTGGTGATTTGAGATTTTGAGCTCAAATCGAGCTGTATTCCATCACAATACGACACAACAGCCGATACCTGCAGAGTGCAGATAAGACACTGCTTACGCCTTACCATATTCAATAACATTAATGGTTAAATACCAGTTTAAATAAAAATTTAAATAATAATCTGAATACTAATTTAAATACTAATTTAAATACCAATAGTTTATGGTCATTTTTTATTATGTTTGTATATTGTATAAGTCGATTTTAACTGTTTTTAATCTGACTGATTTATATATATACATGTATTATGTGGGAACCCTGCTCAGATGTTATTAATTAATTAATTAATGATAATAACGATAAAAGCTAATCAAAATAATAATACATCTTAATATGGTTTATTTAATGGTTTCTGTTACCTGTATGAAACGTCGTCCACTTGAATCTGAGTTTCTATAATTCCCGTTGTCCGGACACGTGACCTCAACACGTCGTTAAAGGTTGGAACGTAGTCTTTACTCATGATACGGTTCATGTTCTCGAAGAAACTGAAATGTGTGGACGGTTTATTTCGGTGGTCAAGTGGTTGAGAACAGTGGAGGGGGGAGGGTGACACGTTCCCCATTAGGGGGGTGGGAGTGGGTCACACGGTCCCCATTTTTAAACACAAACATATTAAACTTTCCATTGACCATTAGTTTCAAGTTCAAGCTGAAAGCACCGCTCCCATCGCCCAAATAAGGAGCTAGCAAAGCAAAAGATTATTCCCTCGTGGGAGGGAGTTGATCAAGCCACTTATAAAATAAACGGTGGTATTCTAGTAATTCCAGTCTCCTACTGCCTCAAAACTTAAACCACACTATTAAATTGAAGTAGTAATCTGAACTGACTGTTCAGACAAATGAGGAAGTCAGACGGAGATGTTCCTTCACTAAACAGGTAAACCATTTTAAAGATAATCTACTCTTCCAAATAACATACTAAGACGAAACAATCAGCTTCACGTTATTGGTTAGGGACTGGTTACAATCAATTGTTATAGACTATTCATTGCACGGCTATTTATACTTTGATGTATAAGTCATATATATGACTTTATTGAGATAGCAATAAAGTGGACTTTGTTCCCGAATAAAGCAGTAAGTTTTCTTTTCAACCCAGGCTCGCTCAGGACACGCTAAAGGTTCACGTTGCTTTCATTCCTAAACAACGTGTGACGTATATTCCGTTAAAACCGTTACATTTAACAAATTACAAAACTTTATTTTGGGAAATTGACGCACAGCGCACTCCTTTTGTTCAAACAACAAAACTAATATAATAAAAAACATCTTAAAAGTCGGCCAATCCCTCTGGTCAGGATGACCAAACCCAGACAAAGACAGATTTCTATATTTCTAGAACATCTTATATATATATAATAAATATATATATATATATATTAAGTAAGATCTCCAAATAAATATAAACTCTACTCACTACGCAGCCGAATCGTTGAGCTGATACTCAAAACTTTTATCAAAGCTGCGTCTGATACCGCCGTCCCTCCAGAGTTCCCGTAGAGCAGTGATCATGTCCGGGTTGAGGTCTGTCGTACCGGTTACAAACGGCTCCGACCAGTTCAATATCCTCTCCACGTGGTGCTAACAAGTATTCAGATAATTCAGAGTGAAATATTTCACTGGTGAATTGTGAAATACCTAAAAACTTAGGAACTATCCAACCCTAAGTTTTTATGATTTATAAAGAATTTTCTGGGAAAATTGATGGGAGCCTAGTTGATTCGTTCGATAAAATAAAGATGTTTGGACGGGACTGGTATGATAACAGTGATAGTAATATGACAGGGATGTTACAGGAGTGTTACAGGAGTGTTACAGGAGTGTTACAGGAGTGTTACCTTGTTATTAGGCTTCTCAAGCAGTATCCGCAACTTTCCCATGCCGTTTATAACCACACGCATAGAGGAGATGAGATTATCACAAACCGTCAACTGTAAAATATAAGCCTATTAAACATCACGACTAATTGTTGATAAAATCAATTTGATAATCGGAAAGATTGAATATGCAAGGCTGCCATTTCAATACGCAGACAGGTGTTTACCGCATAAGAAATGACTAAAGTGGGAGTTAAGTAAATTCTGTCGAACCAGTGAGCTTATTGTAATCAGAGTCGACAATAACATAAGCTGGTAAATACCGATCAAGTCGCAGCTCAGCGCCTTAATTCAGTGAACGATTCTTCACGTCACATACGTTTTTAAAATTTATATTTTAAAAAGCCTTCCTTCCTTCCTTCCTTGGCATTCAAGTACTAAATGGTTAACCGGCTAGATATAGGCGAGGTACAGGATCAATACTATGTTCAATACCCCTTGTCCCCCCCCCCCCCCCGCTCTAGAACAGGCGACACATTTATTTAAATATTTAGCAATTTTGACATTGAAGGAAAGCAAACCTTATAACTTTGAAGTTCTTTCTGCGAGAAACCGTTGCTATGGATGATCTTCATCTGCTTGACCAATGTGCTTTTACCTGACTCTCCAGCCCCTGAAATAAGTTAGTACATGAGTAACAAGAGTAACAAGAGTGACAAGAGTAACAAGAGTAACAAAAGTAACAAGAGTAATAAGAGTAACAAGAGTAACAAGAGTAACAAGAGTAACAAGAGTGACAAGAGTAACAAAAGTAACAAGAGTAACAAAAGTAACAAGAGTGACAAGAGTGACAAGAGTAACAAGAGTGACAAGAGTAACAAAAGTAACAAGAGTGACAAGAGTAACAAAAGTAACAAGAGTGACAAGAGTAACAAGAGTAACAAGAGTAACAAGAGTAACAAGAGTGACAAGAGTAACAAAAGTAATAAGAGTGACAAGAGTAACAAAAGTAACAAGAGTGACAAGAGTAACAAAAGTAACAAGAGTGACAAGAGTAACAAGAGTAACAAAAGTAACAAAAGTAACAAAAGTAACAAGAGTGACAAGAGTAACAAGAGTATTTACCAAGTAACAAGAGCTTGATAACATTCTCACAAGCCTTTGCATCTTGTAGGATCTTCTTGTCGATAAGCTCGCTTCTCTCTTTGGCGGACTTGTCTTCAACGCTCGGGAAACATCCCATCCTTCACATACATGAACACTAAACTAAACTAACCTAAACTGCGTGATAGGTGTTACTATATTACTGATGTTTTAATACTGTTTATATCAGCTGAAAATTCAAAAATACCTCGAAATGGAGTTCAGTTTAGAATTTTGTCTAGTATATGAATGACCAAACGTCGCTACGGCGAGGACCACTAAATATGCTCCTCGCCGAGGAGCATATTTAGTGGTTGAAGTTTGAAATATGTCAGTAGCGCTGACTAAATGGACTAGTGGAGCAATATGGATGCCGTTATTTCAGATCTTCTATAGAAGATATTCTTCAAAGGACCAAGTTACCAGTTATCACCGAGACCAATTATACTATGTAATAACTTGCCTCTCTACCTCTATTTTCAATAAAAATCTATAAGTCTAATGCTAAACGTGGATGGGTTGCGTGCGTGGGTGATTGAACGGATCAAACGTAAACTGGTGAAGGGGAGCTCTAACACTCCCGGCTTGACCCGTATGTGGTTTGTAGGTATTTCAAATATTGCTTATATTAGCTAAGGAGTCCCAACAAATTCGCTAAATCTGCTGTTTAAAACTACTGAGAAGGCCTGCAAGTAGATATATAAGGTAACTCAGCTGGAATTGACATATTAAAGACAGGGTCAGTTGAAGCTGGCAGTATTTGACAGTATTATAAATTCATCACATCGACCATGTTCAACAGTTAAGGTGACTTCCTTATAGCATATCTCACTATATATAAAGCGAGACGATCTATATATATATATGTACATACAATAAATAGTTGTTGCTTGGTTTCCAAAGAGAGTGTTTCATATATAATATGTTTATTGTTTATATATCCGAACCATTTTACTGACGCCACGGCATCAACTTTAACACGACTTTCCGCAAAAACCGTTAAAGATATACAACTTAAAATTTTTTGACTGGTTCAAATGCTTTAATGGCTTTCAAATCAGCACGAAAAAATAAAAAATTGGCCAAGGAATAAGATGACTTCTGTTGACTTCAGTGAAAGGGCTGATGACTTCAGTGAAAGAGCTGGTGACCTAGTGAAAGTGCTGGTGACGATGAGAAAGACCATAAACCAGGGATTCCTTTGGGAGCATGTAAGATTATATCCAAAGTTTGTTCGCCAATGGGGTGTGTCTGGGTGTCAAAGATCTTCAAGGTGGGTGCTACTTGTGATGAACTCTAGAAGGATGGGGTGGTAATACTCGGTCTGGCCGTCTGGAAGCCCATAGAATTCCAGTTCAGAAACCGAGTAAGGAGGTGCGGCTACTGATGAGAAGCCTCCTTAAAGTTTATTTGGGTTAGAAACGACATCTGGGTCCCTACCCTCGCACAAGATTATTCTCAATTTTCTTGTTGTGTCCACAACTATACCGTTGATCAGAGTCACATCTGATGACTTCAGTGAAAGGGCTGATGACTTCAGTGAAAGAGCTGGTGACCTAGTGAAAGTGCTGGTGACGATGAGAAAGACCATAAACCAGGGATTCCTTTGGGAGCATGTAAGATTATATCCAAAGTTTGTTCGCCAATGGGGTGTGTCTGGGTGTCAAAGATCTTCAAGGTGGGTGCTACTTGTGATGAACTCTAGAAGGATGGGGTGGTAATACTCGGTCTGGCCGTCTGGAAGCCCATAGAATTCCAGTTCAGAAACCGAGTAAGGAGGTGCGGCTACTGATGAGAAGCCTCCTTAAAGTTTATTTGGGTTAGAAACGACATCTGGGTCCCTACCCTCGCACAAGATTATTCTCAATTTTCTTGTTGTGTCCACAACTATACCGTTGACCAGAGTCACATCTGATGACTTCAGTGAAAGGGCTGATGACTTCAGTGAAAGAGCTGGTGGCCTAGTGAAAGTGCTGGTGACGATGAGAAAGACCATAAACCAGGGATTCCTTTGGGAGCATGTAAGATTATATCCAAAGTTTGTTCGCCAATGGGGTGTGTCTGGGTGTCAAAGATCTTCAAGGTGGGTGCTACTTGTGATGAACTCTAGAAGGATGGGGTGGTAATACTCGGTCTGGCCGTCTGGAAGCCCATAGAATTCCAGTTCAGAAACCGAGTAAGGAGGTGCGGCTACTGATGAGAAGCCTCCTTAAAGTTTATTTGGGTTAGAAACGACATCTGGGTCCCTACCCTCGCACAAGATTATTCTCAATTTTCTTGTTGTGTCCACAACTATACCGTTGATCAGAGTCACATCTGATGACTTCAGTGAAAGGGCTGATGACTTCAGTGAAAGAGCTGGTGACCTAGTGAAAGTGCTGGTGACGATGAGAAAGACCATAAACCAGGGATTCCTTTGGGAGCATGTAAGATTATATCCAAAGTTTGTTCGCCAATGGGGTGTGTCTGGGTGTCAAAGATCTTCAAGGTGGGTGCTACTTGTGATGAACTCTAGAAGGATGGGGTGGTAATACTCGGTCTGGCCGTCTGGAAGCCCATAGAATTCCAGTTCAGAAACCGAGTAAGGAGGTGCGGCTACTGATGAGAAGCCTCCTTAAAGTTTATTTGGGTTAGAAACGACATCTGGGTCCCTACCCTCGCACAAGATTATTCTCAATTTTCTTGTTGTGTCCACAACTATACCGTTGATCAGAGTCACATCTGATGACTTCAGTGAAAGGGCTGATGACTTCAGTGAAAGAGCTGGTGACCTAGTGAAAGTGCTGGTGACGATGAGAAAGACCATAAACCAGGGATTCCTTTGGGAGCATGTAAGATTATATCCAAAGTTTGTTCGCCAATGGGGTGTGTCTGGGTGTCAAAGATCTTCAAGGTGGGTGCTACTTGTGATGAACTCTAGAAGGATGGGGTGGTAATACTCGGTCTGGCCGTCTGGAAGCCCATAGAATTCCAGTTCAGAAACCGAGTAAGGAGGTGCGGCTACTGATGAGAAGCCTCCTTAAAGTTTATTTGGGTTAGAAACGACATCTGGGTCCCTACCCTCGCACAAGATTATTCTCAATTTTCTTGTTGTGTCCACAACTATACCGTTGATCAGAGTCACATCTGATGACTTCAGTGAAAGGGCTGATGACTTCAGTGAAAGAGCTGGTGACCTAGTGAAAGTGCTGGTGACGATGAGAAAGACCATAAACCAGGGATTCCTTTGGGAGCATGTAAGATTATATCCAAAGTTTGTTCGCCAATGGGGTGTGTCTGGGTGTCAAAGATCTTCAAGGTGGGTGCTACTTGTGATGAACTCTAGAAGGATGGGGTGGTAATACTCGGTCTGGCCGTCTGGAAGCCCATAGAATTCCAGTTCAGAAACCGAGTAAGGAGGTGCGGCTACTGATGAGAAGCCTCCTTAAAGTTTATTTGGGTTAGAAACGACATCTGGGTCCCTACCCTCGCACAAGATTATTCTCAATTTTCTTGTTGTGTCCACAACTATACCGTTGATCAGAGTCACATCTGATGACTTCAGTGAAAGGGCTGATGACTTCAGTGAAAGAGCTGGTGACCTAGTGAAAGTGCTGGTGACGATGAGAAAGACCATAAACCAGGGATTCCTTTGGGAGCATGTAAGATTATATCCAAAGTTTGTTCGCCAATGGGGTGTGTCTGGGTGTCAAAGATCTTCAAGGTGGGTGCTACTTGTGATGAACTCTAGAAGGATGGGGTGGTAATACTCGGTCTGGCCGTCTGGAAGCCCATAGAATTCCAGTTCAGAAACCGAGTAAGGAGGTGCGGCTACTGATGAGAAGCCTCCTTAAAGTTTATTTGGGTTAGAAACGACATCTGGGTCCCTACCCTCGCACAAGATTATTCTCAATTTTCTTGTTGTGTCCACAACTAGTTGTTGCTTGGTTTCCAAAGAGAGTGTTTCATATATAATATGTTTATTGTTTATATATCCGAACCATTTTACTGACGCCACGGCATCAACTTTAACACGACTTTCCGCAAAAACCGTTAAAGATATACAACTTAAAATTTTTTGACTGGTTCAAATGCTTTAATGGCTTTCAAATCAGCACGAAAAAATAAAAAATTGGCCAAGGAATAAGAATTTTAGTGCCCAAAATTAAATAGGTGATAATTATTTAATCTCTTGAGTTTTGACACCACTTAAGGATTAGACGGGTTTCTGCTAGTATTTATAATAAGAGCATCTCATATATGCTACAAATAATGATCAATCAGAGTTTGACTTATAAAAGCTGTGTATCTAATTTAATATCTATAGTATATTATATAATATAATAATATTTAGATATATATTATAATATATAATTATTGTATAATAATATATTATAATATATATCTAAATAATAAACTATTTTGAGTGGATATTTGTAAACTCGTAAAATACCAAAATAGATGCAAAAATATATGTTCAGGGGAATGACGCAACTATTTATTTCTTATTTTGTATGTGAGCACACGTTATTGAGACTAAACTACCCAGTGTCCCAGTGAATTTGTTAAATAAAACCCTTCAACTATACACCCCTGCCTCAAGAGAATGATTGAGCCAATCTTAATACCAGTACGATAATGTTGGTTACTGAAGCGCTTACACTCAATCAAATCATGCTCATTTTTAACATACCAGCAGACAACCTACATTTTATGATATATAACGGGCGCAAAACCGAGTGTAAAGACCACAAAATACTGGCTCAAAAGACATGCAAACTAAAACATCAAGCTTAATATCAGACAGTGTAAGCACTGATAAGAAGATCTAGGAGATAACAAATAGGCTACATTTGTTGTAGTAGCATCGTTAAATTGTTACGTAAATGTAGATTATATTAGATAATCTAGCGCAATTTCAGTAAACATTATTTACAGTGGAGTAGACTAAGCTGTCACGTTGTGTGTCACATTGTGTGTCACATTGTGTATCACATTGTGTGTCACATTGTGTGTCACATTGTGTAACCCATTGTGTGTCACATTCTCACATTGTGTGTCACATTGTGTGTCACAGTATGTGTCAAATTGTGTGTCACAGTATTTGTTACATTGGTGTTACATTGTGTATCACAGTATGTGTCACAGTATGTGTCACATT